TATCCGGGGGGGAATGACGCTTGCCCCATACTGAAGCTGCCCACCCAGCAAACAATTTAACGTTTTCTGAACGTTTTCTGAACGTGCCTCTTTCGTTCTGAGAACGTTTTGAATAAACGTTTTAAAAACGGCCATTTGTGGACACTTTTGGACGTTTTAAAAACGTTTTTTGAGACGTTTTAAGAACGTTTTTTGAACATACAAAAAGTATTAACAACTTGCTAGTAGTTATCTAGGACCTAACAATGACCTACATAAAACGTTTAGGACGTTCAGACAACCACCTGACGTGCCATAAACGTTCTAAGAACGTTCGTTGAACGTACAAAACGTATTAAAAACGTACTACCAGTGACTAAAGACGTAACAAGGACCTACATAAAAACGTTTTGGACGTTCAGACAACCAACTGACGTGCCATAAACGTTCTAAGAACGTTCGTTGAACGTACACAACGTATTAAAAACGTACTACTAGTGACTAAAGACGTAACAAGGACCTACATAAAACGTTTTGGACGTTCAAACAACCAACTGACACTAGATGATTCTGTGTTTTTTCAACTTTATTCTTGGTCCGGAACTTCAAATTACAGAAATCGAGGTTTCATGGATTTATATCAGTACCTGTAGATATTAGAAATTAAAATCAAATTAATTTTTTAAAAAGTTGTTAATGCGATTTATTACAAACAGTTATTGTGCCAGAATATGTGCTGAATGAAAACGTCTGCGAGAAATTTTTGCTTGATGGCGTACTGGACAAAAGAAAATGTATAGGATTGTTTTTCTTTTCTGCTAAATGAGCTGTAACATGGATGTTTTTACTACCTGAAATGGCATCACACTTTTAATCATAAAACCTAGAGGAAAATTTAATTTGCATAAAAACAAATTACACCAAAATACATGTACCCTTGAAAATAGCAACAAGAAAAGTTGGAAATAAGGTTAAATTTGATACACCTGTTTATGCATAAATACCAGAGAAACATTTACTAATTCATATCGGTCGCTCGAGAGCTCGTCACGTTGCCGGTTTTAAACAACTGATTAAGACCTGTGGCTGGTGTCCGACAAATATAGTGTAAAATAGCTGGGGAAAAAAACATTCGAATTTTTATAATATTTGACTTATTTTGACTTTTGGACCGAATTACTTTTAACTTTTTGGACCGAAAGGGTATTTATGAATGGCGATAAGTATGTGCTTTGCCAGTATTATCCAGACTGCAACTGGTCTTTATCTTAAACATAGTGTTTAAACTGGCAAAGCAAACATATATTTTCTTAACTAAATTTGTTAATATATAAGTCTTTACTGGTCATCTGATCTTCATCTTCCTGAATATCCTCAGATTGAGCTGCTGCATCACTTCCAGGTTTCTACAGTGCAAACGAATCAAATAAATAACAAAAAATATATCAATTAAAGAAAAACAGTTTGAGGAGTATTTGAGGGATTCCTTCTGCAAATCACTCAAAGGAACAAGATCACAATACAGACCCCTACGGGCTAAGTTCATAGTACAATATTTACAAAGGCAATTCCTACATGTTCACTTATACTTAAATCATACTGCCAAGTTGCTGATCTAGTCATTAAAAATGTTGATTGTCGATTGAATTTCACTTGGGTTTGGCAAGCACAAACTGTTGCTCGCAGTATGTAAAGGTTCTCAGCGCAAACAAAACTTGGCAGCTCATGTCATACAAAGGCAATTCCTACATGTTCACTTATACTTAAATCAGCATCTAATTGGAAATTGTGTACCCGTCACATCTCACAAATGTGTATTGGCAAGTTGATAATTCTTTACACATGCAAAAAAAACCCGTTGCGTATACGTCATTTTCGTGTTAGTTTGTAACTCATTCCTTATGTAGATTTTTCTACAGCGCATCCATGGAAGAACAAAGAAAAACATTTAAACAGTAACCAGGATATTTAGCACATGCATGTGTGTAAAAAACGTCAAATTTGCAGAAATGAACTTACTTTGTAATTCATCCACCTGGAAGGTCTGGAGACTGTTTTCCACAGTAGCCATTCTTGATTTCGGTCTCCTTGGTATATAAGAGTGGTTTCCTCATGCATTCCTCTTGGGGAAAAAATAAAAGGATAAAATGGCAAATGAACCAGTTAATTGAGCAGTTAATTGTCGGTAAATAGATATACTCTGCTCCATTTTAATGCTGTGTTGATGCCTTAATAGAAAAGAGTGTAAATTAATCAGTATTTTCTACTTTGACTTTTGGCTGGAGGAAAACTTTGTGAAGTTTATTCAAGGTTTCATGTTGTGGCAATATATAGAGGTCCGAACTGGTGACCGTAACATTTCCAACTTTTTTTAGTTTTACATGTTTTAGCCGAATTGGTTCAATGGAGGGAAAAAGAACTGAAGAACTTATTTTGTGAAGCACACAAACAATAACAAACGTCAAAAGTCTGGAGCCCAAACAATAATATAATTATGGACGTAGTGTATACGTGGCTACAGCATGGTTAAACCTCTAGCAACGTTTACGAGTGTGTATACATTGTATACCGTTGCTACTATTTGAACGGCACCATCATATCATGACCATGGAAATTGTGATCATGGTGATGTAGGCAACATTTATTAATGCATTAACGTCCATAAAATTCCATCATAAGTGTTTGCAAGAAGAGCAATTAAGTCTTGAAAGTTTCCATAGGCATGCACTCTACAGCCAACATTCACGTTTTGAGAAATACTGTCTTAAACTCCTTGTACCAGTACAACATTACCAGCAACCCATTTCTAGATCTGTTCCTTGCTCGGTGGTCCAACTGAATGAATTCAAATCTGCCACACAGGGAGATTCAGGTATTGACTGGTATGCAAGGTTGTGTGTACTGTACGTTGGGTGAGACTAGGTCACCAGCGGAAGACAGTGGTTGTAATCTGACCTTGCACAGCAGGTGGTCACTACTCTGTGTGGGACTGGCCTGTTAATTGGATTCTGTGTAGCCGGCTGTTTATTCTAACTCATTGTGTTTTGTATAGCCTACTGCAGTAATGCATTGTACTGGTGAACACAATTTTGCTGAAAGTTGGAACAGAATAGTTCTAGATGACCACTGGCAAGACTGGTAGGATGACTGTACGGCCAGAGCAGAGTGTGTCGTTGTGTGAACGACAAGACTTTGAAACAGAACGACCGCAGCCTGTGCGCACCTTGGCCAACCAGAGTGCCAAGACGTTTATGGGTCATTTCGTTGACGCTTCGATCGGCTAGAATCTTTCGGGATCTTGCCCAAAGCGTACTGAATTATTTTTAAATCATACCGGCATGAAATTTCATTTCTCGATTTGCACATAACAATACAAAAACATACAAATACAGGAAATTGAAAAAACAGACAATATTAAAACATTCAATAAAATAAAATTAATTAAATAATTGCTTAAAATACAGAAAATCTGAACAACACACACAGCGGATGCCGGGTATAATTATCCGTATATATCCGCTAGTAATTGAAAATGTGTAAATATATTCACCATTGCACAAAAATGTAAGATTCCACATCAATTCAAATTGATGGGTCTATTTGTTTCGTTTATTTACGTTTGAATGTGAGGTTTTTAAACGTTTGGGAAATTACGTTTTCCAAACGTCACAAAAGACATTTTAATGTAGGTCCATTTTCTAACGTCCAACAAACGGTTTTTAAACGTCACAAAAGATCGTCTCACTTGGGTAAATTTTCTAGCGTTCGCAAAACGTTTTCAGAAAGTCTTTGAAAAACCTCGATTGTCTACGTTTTAAGCACGTTTTAAAAACGAAGACGTGGGTCTGTTTGTTTAGTTTATTTACGTTTGAATGTAAGGTTTTTTACACGTTTGGGAAATTACGTTTTCCAAACGTTACAAAAGACATTTTAATGTAGGTTAATTTTGTAACGTCCAACAAACGTTTTTTAAACGTCGCAAAAGAACGTTTCACGTGGGTAAATTTTCTAGCGTTCGCAAAACGTTTTTAGAACGTTCTTGAAAAAACCTCGGAATTGTACATTATCTACAACGTTTTTATGCACGTTTTAAAAACGTCCCTTTTGGACGAAGACGTAAGTGACCTACGTAGAACCTACCAAAACGTTTTTTAAACCGTTCTGTGTTTGCTGGGTACAAATGCGCGTATAACGCGCAAACTATACAGGCCCTAAAAACCTACATACCTAAAAATGACAAAATGCAAATGATTGTGTGGTGGGCTTTTTGTCATTTCTAATTAAATGATAATTAAAAAACTAATAATATTCCGCTTTCAAACTTGGGCAGATTGGTCCTTTTCATTTATATAACAAAATGACCGAAAAAAAATCAAATCTGGAAAAAGACGCATTTTCAGGGTTTTTGTCACTTCGTGAGGAAAGCGACGATATGTCGATTTTGAAAAAAAAACGTTTTCGACGTAATCGCAAAAGAAGTTTCTCTTACTTTAAAACTGCAAAAAATACCACTTTGCAACAACTTTGTGCAGCAAGGAAACCATCAAACGATTCTACGAGAGCTTAATTTTTACATGAACCCAGTAAATAGACTTTACATTTGTTAATTGGTGAAAATTAATAAGTAAAGATAAGTGGCTCTTCGTGAAAACGCACATTAAGGTTTCCGAGATATTGGCCCTTTCTGTTACAAATTATTGTAATTTGGCAAGATAAATTATAAACTCACCAAGTTCTGCGATTTCATTGTCATCAAAGTGTTCTACCTTGTTGTATAAGCTGTGGCATTTGGCAAACAATGAAAACACGGTGGAATACTTGTTGACTAGGGCGCTGGCCTTTTGTAGTTTAGCCCGACAAAGTTTCACCACATCCAGTATTACAGCCTGTGTTATTTTTTCAATGTTCATTTCCTAAGTGAAAAAAACCATCATGTACACGGTACATGTATATTATTCAATTAACAGTAAATCTAGTTCATATCATTAATGTAAATCAAAACACATTTTTTTTTAATGAGCTTCAATCATTATTACCTTTAGACACTTGTGAACGTGGTTCCCAACAAAAGTGTTGGAATAATAGGCCTGGCGCCGAACTTTGATTTCTTGCAGGGTCTGGTCCAGCCTATTCAACAAGGGGTTGCGTTGGTCCCGCAGCTTCTCCACTTTGGTGTTGGCAAGTAAGTCCTGTAGTGACAACATGAAGTTAGAGTAGTGTCTGGTAAGAACTATTTACAATATTTTAATTGATGCTCATGGCATTTTTACTTACTATAACATCTATAACTATGTGACTTGTGTCACATGGTTCTCAAAACATAATTCTCAGATTAGGTCTATCCCCCCAAAAGCTGCAAGACATTTTTAAACAATAATAAATTTTCACCTGTCGTCTCAGTTCCTCAGTGAGATTGTTCAGTTGAGCGGTTGCGCCATCTACAACGTCTGAGGCATCGATGTTGTCATTGAGGACGGCAATCGTGGCAAGCTGCTCATGAAGGTCTGTTAATTATGCTTGGATTTCCCTTGCTCTGACCTTAGTAGCCCCATAATGTGGCCAGTTTACTGGACTGCCTCCGTAAACATAGGCCACACGTCCGCCATCTTGGAATCTGACTCGCCGAAATTTTGAAAGTGATTTCCACATTGCGACTTCAAACCCAGTTCATTTATGCTTTAAAAATACACTTACCCTCTTAATAACAAAATTAGAACCTGCTGCCAGTGTCAGTTGCCCAGCTGCTGCGTAATTTACGACATTTTCTGGACCATTCTTGGCAACTTGGTCCAACCGTGGAGCTATCTCCATGGTCCAACTGAACAATGCCCTCGCGCAGATCGTTCACCTGTCAATCACGCGTGCAGGACGCACGCCGCAGGCCCAGTGGTAGTCCGGTTCCCAGACCAAAAGATTCTGACTATTCCTAGGATCAGGAATAGTCAGAATCTTTTGGTCTGGGAACCAGACTACCACTGGGCCTGCGGCGTGCGTCCTGCACGCGTGATTGACAGGTGAACGATCTGCGCGAGGGCATTGTTCAGTTGGACCATGGAGATAGCTCCACGGTTGGACCAAGTCATGCAAGTTGCCAAGAATGGTCCAGAAAATGTCGTAAATTACGCAGCAGCTGGGCAACTGACACTGGCAGCAGGTTCTAATTTTGTTATTAAGAGGGTAAGTGTATTTTTAAAGCATAAATGAACTGGGTTTGAAGTCGCAATGTGGAAATCACTTTCAAAATTTCGGCGAGTCAGATTCCAAGATGGCGGACGTGTGGCCTATGTTTACGGAGGCAGTCCAGTAAACTGGCCACATTATGGGGCTATGACCTTAGCAGCATGTACCTCGGACAGTTTAGCGATGTGCAACGGAAAGGGACCCTCTCCAAACTTAGCAGCATCTCCATTTGCCATTGCCAGATCTTCTGCTATCTCCTCCCCTAGAACTCTACATTCGTCCTCAAACAAAGTATACAGCTTGAACCAGATGCCCAAACTGATATGGAGCGTAGGTGGGCATACCTGACAAATAATGTGTTAGACAGTGTAACTATTATGCACTATGAAGAAAACTACAGTAAAGAATACTTAAATAACAAATTGATTACATTACATGGAGTGTTCATAAGCAATTTAAACTTTCCAAATACCTGAGAGATGGGGATTGAAAAGAAGGGCTCATCTACTGCATTGTTGAAGAGTTTGGCCTTCTTAATGGACCCTCCTGCAGCAAGGAAGTGCTCGTGATCCCTGTGGAGAGTTTCAAGGCTCCTGGCTGTACATGCTTGACGATCTGATTTGTCCACTGCCATCTCAGCACTTGTTACATGGCACCAGATGCAAGGATGGCGTCCTTTGAAGACAAATACAACAGTTATTGGCTAGCCGTGGTGAGTATTATTCTTCCTGATAAATCATACTGTTAACAAATCAAACTTGAAGGCATGTTTGTTCAAAGTCAAGGTGGACCAATACTACTTACCACTTGCACCAGATATCCCCATCATTCTAGACAAAAACTCATAATCGCCAAAAAGGAAAATCATGAGTTTCTTTCCCCTGTACAGTAAAACAAAATGAAATCATCATACGTTTAAGTTTTTATATGGTTTAAAATAAATATTTCTGTGAAAACAAGATATAAATTGTTACCTCCATGTCATCTTTGATAGTGATTCTATGTCCGTCTTGTATCTGTCAAGGGCCATATGGAGGTTCACTGCTGTGTCAGTAGATTCGAAGGCGCACAAGACAATAGTATTTCTCTTGGAATTGGGGCATTTGGTGTTGGCTACCTCAAGCATAAACTGGAATGACCCACCACCCTTATCGCCACCAAGTTTGAGCCATAGCTCATCCTGTGGTTGACCTGGATGCCAGTGCAATCTCCCAGATCTGCAAAAGACAATTTCAATCATATACGGTCACTTGTTTTATTTATATCTGCAGAACTAATACGTGTACTTAGTACAACTTGATTTGATACATGACAGCGAAACTTGCAATGCTTAGTTTTATTATTATTATTATATAACAAACTAAACTTTTTTATCATTATTTTTGTTAATTGTTTTGTGCCTGTGCACGTGGTTGTGTTAATAATGTAAAGCACATGTTCATGCACCTGTCACATTCCTCCAGCAGGTCAAGTATGTATGATTGGAGGTCAGCTATGTAGACACAGGCTGCCGGTTTGCTGACAAGTCCTGTCTGCTCTGTGCACAGAAAAGGCAGTCTGTCCCCCTCGATTTATTCTTGGGCAACAGAGGCTTAGCCAAGTTTATGTTGTACTGGCGAAGCCACCTAAATAGTAAAATTACAAAATGTGACATTCACATTATTAAAACATCAATCACTTTACACAAAATTAATTACAGAATAAAAATGGTTTCTCCTATGTTTGTAATTACGCAACACTCTGCCATGAGATTTTGTTTATACTTTCAAAATTGAATCTTACAACTTAAGCTCTCTTAGTCCAGCCCAAGACAATCCCAAGTCTGCTTTGAGTGCCAGCTCATTTATTGCAGGAATGTGTGTTTTCATCTGCAGCCTGTCAAGAAGATGTTGCAGTGATTTCCTGGAGGCTCTCTGGATGAGTTGCCCTAGCTGCACATCAGACTGTCCAGCGCTTATGTCAGAGAGGTGCTCCCTCAAGTGTTTTGTACGGCGCTGGATGGTCCGCTTGGTGACGTCAGTGCTTGGTTTGTTGGCAGTGGGGATATGCTCAACACACATTGCCTGGCAGTGCATGAAATAACAAGGTAATGTTTACTGTTTACATGTATGTGGGCAAAAATGTTTGGTTTTTCTGTACAAGGTGCACGTTACCTGACCTAGAAGTCTGACTGTTCACTATAATCAAACTAATATGAATATAACATACCAACCCCCTTCCCCCCCCCCCCCCTGCAAAATGATTGGATCCGCCCCTGTTAAGTAAATTATATCTAGGTTTGTCAAACAATACTTACTGCTCCTTTGGTTGACAATCGCACTGTTTTTCCACCATCCATGCATTGTTTTAGAAGATGAGCCGTCAGCTGCTGTCCAACTTTCCCAAGTGGTGCAACATTACTGCCAAGTATGTGCTTGAAGATCTGCTCATTAACCGCAACAGAGGAATCGGGGATGGAACAGTTGTGCTGATCTGCAGAGCTCAACCAACTACTTCTCTGACATGTGGTACATTTAACCCATAGATTTCCGAGGAAGTTCATGAAGTATTGCTTTGGGAGTTGTACTTCTTTTAGGCTGATGTTTTTTTGGCATACAGGGCAAACTATAGAACAAGATGTTGCCACAGAAAAGGACTCTTGTAGACATGATAAACAAAAAATGTGATCACAGGGCATTTCAACTGGTCTAGAAAATAATGTATTGCATAGTGTGCAATTAATTAACAGAGGGTTGTCGGTGGTGAAGTTCATGTTGGGAAATGACGTAGCTTTTTCAGCCAGCATGTCCAGGTTTTCCATCACTGCTTTCTTGTTATCTGCTTCTGTCCTCTCAAGCTCATCCATCCTCTCATACTTTGCTTTAGATCTTGGCCGGCCAGCTTTTGTGAATGCTTCTACTCTCTTGCAAATGCTGCAACCTTCCCTTTCTTTATGGATTGGCCACTTGTCAGGAATGTCTCTTTGTGTAGGTGTAAATAAATTAGAGTAGCACAGATGGCAAATAAAAAGGGGATGCCGTTGTGTTTCATCTCTGGTCACATCAATGTTGAACTTTCCTTTTATTTTATCTGCATACTTCAAACACATCTTCAAAGGTTTCTTGATGTTTTTGCTCTTAAAGGCTTGCACTTTTTGGCCACACACTCTTCACAAGCTGCTTAAATTGTTGATGTGGTCCTCCATAATGCAGCTGGGTGATCAGAAAAGTATAACGTTTTATCTGAAATATATTATCAAAATTTAACGTATTTTAAGGGCCTCTGTTTTAGTTGAAATAGCACATCTTTTTTTTATAAAATTGTAGTTTTGTCAATTGCTGTTTTTATATGGATTAGGCCTATATAAATATGCCTCAATGTGACTGATTTTATCTTGAAGATGTTCCTTTTAAATATTGAAGTTAGCAGTTTGATATATTAAATAAATTAGTGTAGAGCCTGCAAAGTTTACGCCATTAAATGTTTCAAGAAAATGTTAAAAGTTTTGGCATTATAAAATTTTTAATTTATTATTAAAAGTAAACAACGCCAACTTTAAGAAAATACAGCTGGTCATTCCACCTTGTTTGAAAAATTGTGTTTTATGCATGTATTTTAAGACCCCCCCCCCCCAAAAAAAAACCCCAGAAATCGAAAACCCTACGGTCATGGCGGTAGCCTAAATTATAGAAGTCCAGAATAATGTTAACATTGACATCAAAATTAATGGGTTTGAATGCTTACACTTTATCCGAATGATGTGATATTAGGAAACAAAGTTTGTGTTGCTAAGATTATCATAAGTTAATGTACATTCCAAAACACTGACCGATTTATTGTTGGCAATAAGAATGCTTTAGTGAATATTTTTCCTGAAATCATTTTAGGCTTGTTTCTGACTTTATGTTTAACGAAAAGTAGAGAACATGGATTAAACAGGATTAATATCAAGAAGCTGCGACGAGTTGGAAAATGATACAGTGTGCATGGTCAGCAATCAATGAAGTACACGAAATCATCAATGCTTCGCCTAAAAGGTTGTCACTGTTTGAGAGTATTAAACATAACTTTGGGGATTCATTTTCTTGGGGAGTTGGAGTGTCTCTAAAACCTCTTTGCCCTACACGTTGGACAGCAAGTACGTCTGCCATTTCAGCACTGATCAAAAACTACAGGGCTGTTAATGACACTCTCGAATCAGTACATGAGGAAGGAGGCTCAACAGAGGCTGTTAGAAAAGCACCTGGATTGATTGCTCTTTTAGAGAAGTTCAGCACATACCTCGGTTTGAAAATAAGTATAAGGGGCTTTTCTGTTGCTGAGGAGATGGCAAGAGTGTTTCAAGCTAAAACCATCACAGCAGAAGAAGTCTCCATGTGCACGGAAACTCTCAAGAATCACTACTTATCTATGCTAACTGATGAGACATTTGCCTCAATTTACAGAGAAGCAGAATTGGCAGCCAAGGGCCTTACAGCAGCGCCAGAGCTTCCAAGAAGAACAATCATGCCACCCATGCGGATTGACGAAGGATCTCAAACACATCAATGGCAAACAGTTGAGGAGTACTACCGGCAACAATATTATTTTATGTTTTCTATCTGATATAGAAAGTATGATTATTTTCTGCTGCAAACGGGGTTGACTTCTCCGTACCACCAGCTCTGCGTACTCTGTACTCCAATGATTTTGACATCAATCGACTCAATTTTCATCTGGCAAATGTCCCTATTGTTGTCAGGGCGCACAATGATCGTCAGCCAAGAAATATGCAATTTAAGCATATCACTAAGGTCTCTACTGTTGCTGACATTTTACAACATAATAAATCCACTAAATTACTTATATCGGAATAGAAAATTAATAAAACGAGTGCGCAAACAAAGTGATCATGTAATTTGGTTTGTTTGGATACTGGTCGGAAGAGGAAAGTCTCCCACTTTCATTAACAAAGTTTGGGAGCTCTTTGATGTCCCACGGTATTTGTATCTAATGAAATCCAGATAAAGGTATAAAAAAGTAAAAGGTGAAATTCAACGTCAACGTTGAGTGCGTCATTATACTTGCCCGGACGAACTTAAAATAACACGAACAAAGTATTTTTGTCAGACGTGGGCAACGAAAATTCGTCCGTTGGGGTTGAAATTTGCCAGTAGGCCTTATACCTAAGTGAGTACGGCGGTGACGCAAAATTAGAAAAATTATACGAAAAATAGGGATACTGCGCTAAGAGAAAATAGTCCACATGCATAGGTACGTTAGCAGACATGACGTACGTCACACTTTCGTTTTGGACCAACACAATTTTCAAATTTGCTTTGAAGTTGCTTTAATCCTGCTCCAGGAACAGTAACTGGATCTTGCCCCCACTTTGAAAAGTGTTCCGCCGCCGATGCAGAGAGCTACTGGCTAGACTCGTCATCATTGGCAAGAGTCGCAACATTGATTTGAAAGACATGTTGTCGTACTGCTTAGCCCCACTGCCACTGTCGTTATCTACACATGAAGGATGTCTGGTCAAGACTAAAAAAGCCAAGTTGTTGCACTTCCTGGAATCCGCACCAAAGGAAACACCCATTGTGTCAGGGAAACCAGGAAGTGTGTGGATCATCTGGTAAACGGCTTCAACAAAGAGCAAGTTTTTTTCACTGAGCTCTTAATACATGTAAAAGCTGTATCATGGACATT